TTTTACAACAATCACTTAGCAAACTTTACTATATAATTTTATTAATATTACTCTTATATAGTAATTTTTAAAGCATTAAATCTCAATCTAAATCTATAAATCAAGGATTAAAAGTTAAATTTGATATATTACATCATGTTTTAAAATTAAAATGTTAGTTCTATGTGGAATTTGATTATGCTAATCAATCGGATTGTACTATTGCCTCAAACCTCAATTTAGTCTATTAAGATCATTGGGGGTTGCAGAGGGTCCTCCCCCTGCCCACCTAAATTTTCTTCTATATAATGCCCTGGTTCCGTGAGCCTATCGTTGTGAATCCAAGTCCTCAACCCCATATCCCCCCCCCGGGTGTTTTGTACCTAAGCTCCTTAGTGCTGCATAGAGTGGTGGAAAATATAGAGATGCAGAGTGTTACGATGATACCATAGAATGTTGTAGTGCTATAGCACTCTAGACCCAGCATTGTGGCACTATCATGTAGGCTAAAATATGAGAGTGGGAGAGCCATAATGATGTATCTTCAAATTCTACTCTGAATGTTGTGTACATCAAGTATAGTGAAAGTTTTATGTTAGAGGGAGATCAAAATCAAGGAGAGGAGAGTCTACTTCAAGTAGAGTGAAAGCTTTGTGTTAGAATTATGAAGAGAAGGGTCAGTTGAAGAAGAATTATATTATTCTAGAGAAGGCTGGTGGTGGAGGTCAAGAAACAATTACTCTATAATTATCTACAAAAGAGTTTCAGTCAGATTCTTTGATTTTTTCTCTAGATAATACTAATCTTAGGTTATATATTTAGGTGCTTAATTTTATGCAAGTCCTAACAAGGAGGTGGTCAAGAATTACATATAAGATGATATGAACAAAGTGTATCTAGGAGAAAACATTATAGGATATTGAGAAATTGATATTAGAATGTCAGATTGGTCAACTTGGAGATTCAAGGATGTTAGGCATGTTCTTTTTTGAATAGGAGCTTTGTTTTTATGATTCAACTTACAAATACAGGCCATGTGATATCATTTAACAGAGATTCATGAAAGGTGAAAAGAAGGGCTACTGTTATAACTCATTTTAGTATTGAAGGCACCATGTATATTATCAACAAAAGACCATATTCAATTGGAATAGCTAATTTAGATGTTGATGGAGGTCTTTGGCATCAAAGACTTGGTCATATGAGTGAGAAATGTATGCATTCACTTCTCACTAGAGTAAAGCTTCTTGGTTTAAAATCTATAAATCAAGATTTTTATGAAGACTATGTATATGACATGCAATAAAGGGTTAGATTTTCAAAAATTAGCTCAAAAGTAAAGTTAAAGAAGGTGGAGTTAGTGTATATATACTGATGTATGGGGTCCTGTACTAATTTCTTCTAAGAAGGTTCTCTCTATTTCATCACTTTATTAATGATCATATCATAAAGGTATGTTTGTACTTTTTAAAATATAAGTCATATGAGTTTGATATTTTCAAGAAGTGGAAGGCCATGATTGAGAGTGAGATAAGTTTAAAGCTTAAGTATCTTAGATCAGATAATGATGGCGAGTATCAAGAAGTTTAAGGAGTATTGTGTTTTGAACATGATCATGCATGAGTTCACTATTCCAAGAAAACCATACTAAAATGGTGTTGCAGTACAGATGAATAAAACTATCACTGAGCATGATAAGAGCATGAGGTTTCATGCAGGTTTGTTCTGGATAAAGGCAGTGAATACTACTATTTATCTGATCAATTATGGTCATTTAGTTCCTCTGAATGAGGGGTTACCTGAGGAAGCCTTAAGTGGTAAGGAGGTAAGTTTATCTCACCTCAATGTTATTAGTTGTTCATTCTATATTCATATTGATGTATGATTTAGGAGTAAGCTTGATCAAAAATCAATTTAGTATACATTTATTGGATATGATTCAGATGAATTTGACTATAAATTTTTTAATTATCATAATAAAATGTTCATTAAGTGAAAGGATGTTAAATTAAATGAAAATGAAATATATAAGGATACAAATGAGACTCCTATAGATTCTTCTAAATGTATTGAGATTGAGGATGAAGATGATCAAGAAGACAAAGAAGATGAAGCACATAGGATTTCTTAGACACTTACTACTGAAGTTAGGTGATCCAATAAAATCTCAAAGATAGTACAAAGGTATTCTCCTTCCTTATGCTATCCATTATTGATAAATAGTGGTAAACACGAGTGATATGATGAGGCTATTCAAGTTGATGATTCGAAGAAGTATAAATAAGCCATGTATGATAAGATGCATTCACTTGAGTTAAAATCAAACTTGGGATATCCAATAATTACTATATGACAAGAAAGCACTACAAAATAAGTGGGTTTACATGCTGAAAGAAGAACCTGATGATAGTAAGTGATATAAAGATATGCATATAGTTAAAAGTTTTCAACATAAGGAAGAAGTGGACTATACTAAAACTTTATCTCCAGTGGTGAAGATGACTACAGTCAGAGTTGTATTGAGCATAGTAGCAGTAGAATATTTACGTCTAGAGCAGATGGATGAAAAGAATATTTCTTCATGATGACCCTAAAGAAGAGTTATATATGGTGCAACCTCAGGTATATGTGGCTATATGTAAAGAATATATGGTGTGTAAACTCAAAAAGAGCATGTATGGGCTGAAGCAAGCACCAAGACAATGGCATAGGATATTTGATAGGTTTATATCAAATAATGAGTACATAAAGTGCTAGACATATCATTATTATTTCTAATTTGATAATTGTTATATTATTCTACTTTTGTATGTGGGTAATATACTGATTGTAGGTCAGAAATAGAGAAAAGAAAGATGTATGAAGGAGCAGTTATCAAAGAAGGTTGAAATAAAAATTTTGAGTCCAACAAAGAAAATTTTCTTTATGAGCAGAAAATTTTCTTTATCAGCATGAATAGAAGTGCAGGCATGCTGAAGTTATCTTAAACTCAGTATATTGCAAAGGAACTGTAGAGATTGAACATGAATGAGGCAAAGTTAATTTGCACTCCCTTGGAAAGTGTTATTTAGCTATCTAAGGAATAATAACCCGAATATGAAGAAGAGCTAGAACAGATGGAGAGCACTTCATGCACTTCAACAGTTGGAAATTTAATGTATGATATGATTTGTATGATACTAGATATAACATATGCAGTGATGGTAGTTAGTAGATTTATGAGTAACTCAGGAAAACTTCATTCGAAGGCAGTTAATGATTCTTAGGTACTTGATTGGATCATTTGACAAAGCTCTTTGCTATGAAGGTGAAGGGAATGATCTACAAGGATATATAGATTTTGATCTTTTTGGAGATCTTGATGATAGTTATATCTTCACTTTGAAAAGATTATTATAAGTTGGGTTTCTAAGTTATAAAATATTATTACCCTCTTACTGCAAAAGCTGAGTATATTACAATCACTGGGGCTAGCTGAGAGATGAGATGGTTGCAAAGCTTCATGGTTAAACTTGGTAAATGACAAAGGAATAACGGGAAGTTGCATAGTGATAGCGTGAATGTTATTCATCTAGCCAAGAATGTTGCATTCCATGCTAGTGAAGCACACCCAACTTCACATTTCACCATCTCTCTTTTGTAAGATGATTAGTTATCTTTAGAGAAGATTCATACGACAAATAATCTTTCATATATGTTGGCGAAGATGGTGAATGCTGATAAATTGAAGTTATGTGTAACTTTAGTTGATCTTTATAAATGATGAGAGGAGGGGTGAGCCGCACTACTTGTACTATGATTGGTGATACAGTAGGAGAAGAATTGATTGCAATTAGTTTCCAAGTGGAAGATTATTAGTTCTGTGTGAAATATGATTGTGTTGATCAATTGGATTATATTGTTGCTTAAACATCAATTCAATCTGTTAAGCTCGCTAGGGGATGTCCTCCCCTTGCCCACATAAATTTTTTTTTGTACAACACCTCGGTACTGTGTAGCTAAGAGCCCTGACACTGTATACCCAAGTGCCCATTGGCTCTGTATTCACGAACGCCCTGGCACTATATATTTTGAAAAAAAAAAAGATAGAGAAGTGAAGTGCTATGGTGCTCTTGTGCAACATAAAATCAGAGAGTGGTAGCGTCGTGGTGCTCTAACTTGGCATTGTAATGCTGTGAGGCTAGTTGGACATATTTCTTTTTTGTTTTTCATTAAGGGTTGTGTCCCTTGGTGGTTTATATTATATTTATTTGTATGTTATAGTGTGAAAACGACGTAAAGGAGAAAAGAAGCAAAGAGATAGTGAGTGAGATGAGTGAGAAAAGAGATTTGTACTATTTCTCCCAATTTTCATAGAAGATTTTTAGGTGTGGTGGGGCTCCATCATTTTTTCCCCCGGTTTTAGGTTTTTCCATATTAAATATTGGTATTTTTCTTTTTTGCTGCATTTTCTATTTCTTATATTTTTTACTGTGTGATTTTACTTCCACCCCAAACCTGAATAACACCCTATATCTATCATTTTTTCCCTTTTAAAATCAATTCATTTTTATTAATAAAATTCTAATACCAATTACAAATAAATTTAAATTCAATATTCTATCTTTCCCCTTTCCTTAAGCTACCTAGCAGGGCTATCAATTAGTCCCAATCAAGTCATACAAGGAGGTTAATCCTAAATCTTTGGATGGCCCCTCCATCAGCACACATACATCCTTCCTCTTATAGAGAAGGGCATGAATATAAAAAAAAGAGGGGATTTGCGTACAAATCATAAAATTCTTATCAATTTATATATCTAATACTTAAAATTTAATATTTACTTATATATTATTTTAGTATCTAAATCATATCAAAGTATATGCATGAAATTATATGGTATATTTTCAATAAGTTGATATATGTGATTATTTTGATGTGATTTAGCAATTGATTGATATAAAAAAAATATTAAATATGTAAATATATAATTATTTTGTGGATGCGTCTACAAAATTTTAACCCCAAAAATTTTGACATTTATGAATCAGCTGCTCTCATAGTTTCTGGTATGATTTTAAAATAGGATCACATATTGAATGTAAGAATCCAAGGTTCAACTTTTTAAGATTCGGAGACCTTTCTCGTGCCTTCCCACCCATCGAAGATCACTTCATTTAGTTCGATCTTGTCTTTGGCTTGTTTACTCCATTGGTCCTTACTCCAAAGGTGCCCCACACCAGTTCACTCTACTGCTTCTTGCCGGCCAAAGCAAGACCATGAGATTAATAAGTGCTATCCGCGGAAAGAGATTGCTAATCGCCTCGTCGTCAGGAGCTCGGCATGACGGTGCACGCTGTTCTTTTCTTATATAGCAAGTTTGTTTTTCAATAAAATCGGGCTGTACTTGGTAGAAGTTCATTGTTTCAGTGACGCTGATCCCCTTTATTTCAAAGGTCTCCTTTTTATCATGCTTTAAACTGCTTGCTTGCGTAATCGGAACTTTGATTACTGTCAAGTATCGAGATATTGGTCATTGGCATTTTTAAATGCGTCATGCAAACTATCTGTTTGATGAAATGACTCTATTGTTAGTTTCGTATTGGTGTTTTTAGCATGAGGAGACTGACTTCTGGGTTTAAGCAGGATAATCACGATGTAGAAAATGTGGTTCGGAATGGGCCGACTCTCGTTGCTGATGCAGAAGAAGACCGTTGCCGTCAGGTTTCCGGCGGTCTGGTTAGGTAAAATTTTCAAAAAAAAAAAAACAAGTAGCTATAACGACTGTAACAAGGTTTATAGGAAAACTGTGACACACTAATGTTTATGCAGCAGAAAAAATAGGTGGATGGTCCCGGCATTTTGGAGAAAGATTGGTGCTTGAAGATTTTGAGGATTCTCCTAGAAAAGGTGTTCCTACAGTATCGCTGGCAAAAAGCTTAGCTTGCCTTACAGATGAGCCTCTGTCAACAGATAATCAGAATGCCAAGAGCCCATCGGAGCAGAAGAGATTGATTGAGGTGCGCATCAAGAAGATGGTGAAAGCGCGATATCTCAATGAGAAGTTTTATGATCTTATGGATGTGGTTATTGCTAATGCAGACACTCTTAGGGATTGCTATGATCTGGTGCGCTTGAACTCTCATGTTGAACTGACAACCCAGACCGACAACCTTTGCTTTTCTACCATGGCAAAACAGATTACGAATGGTGATTTTGATATCAAGGAAAATAGCGTGAAAATGTATGAAAAGAGTGATCAGAGACAATGCTTGGTTCTTCCTAACCTTAAGTTGAGAGTTATACAAGAGGCTGTCAGAGTAGTACTTGAGGTTGTCTACAGGCCATATTTCTCTAAAATATCCCATGGCTGCAGGAGTGGAAGAGGGCATCGTTCAGCTCTGAGATATGTTCAGAAAGAAATTCATAATTCTGATTGGTGGTTCACAATATCAATGAGAAAAGTTGCTGACATAAATGTTCTTTCTAAATTAATATCAGTGATGGAGGAAAAAATTCAGGATTTTAAGTTATTTAAATTCATTTATCAATTGTTTGATGCCCAAGTCCTTAACCTGGTCTTTGGGGTATTCCCAAAGGGTCATGGACTGCCTCAGGAAGGAGTTCTTTCCCCTATCCTAATGAACATTTATCTGGGTATGTTTGATAGTGAAGTGACTAGAATGTCCTTGAGATATGAAGGCCTAGGCCTTGGCTCCAATGAGGAGAAAGGTTTGGAACAGCCGAAACTACGCTGGTGGTTCCGTAGACAGATAAAAAAAAGTGGTGATTCCAGCAAAGAGAAATTAGAGGCTACTGAAGGAAATAAACTTAATGTATGCAGATACATGGATGAGATTCTTGTTTTGGTTTCAGGTTCTAGAGATGTTGCAATGAGTTTGAAGTCGGATATTCTAAACTTTCTAATGAGTTCACTTCATTTAGATGTGGAAAATCAGATGGATCCACTAGCTGTTGATGTTAACTCTCATGTTTTGCAGTTTCTTGGCACATCTATTCAGGTTAGAACAAGAGAAGCTGAGGCCTTACGAGCTGTGCACAAATTGAAGGATAAGGTGCAGATGTTTGTTTCTCAGAAACAGGAAGTTTGGGATTCTTTAACCGTAAGAATAGGTAAAAAATGGCTGGGATGGGGTTTGAGAAGAATAAAAGAATCTGAGATCAAGCAACTTGGGCTTAGCACTCCTATTTTGGATCATTTATCTCAGTTTCGAAAACCAGGAATGAAAACTGATCATTGGTTTAAGTCATTGATGAAGATATGGATGCAAGATGTGAATGCCAAGATCGAAGCTGATGAGGAAGCCATCCTGTCCAAGTACATTGTTGAACCAGTTCTGCCTCAAGATCTCAGGGAGTCTTTTTATAATTTCAGAAAGCACGCAATGGATTATGTTTCATCAGAATCGGCCACAACTCTTGAATTACTTAAAAGGTACTTAACCGAAACCAGATCTGAACAGCAAAGTAATAAAAAAGTAATTGCTTTAGAGGCGCCAACTAGTTGTATAAAGAGCAACCTGCTTAGCTATGGTATAGTTGGCCTTCAAGGTTATCCAAAGCACGTTTCTAGCTTAGTCTTGCAAGATGACGAGTTAATAATATGTTGGTTTTCAGGCCTGATTCAGAGATGGCTAAAATGGTACTCTGAATTTGAAAACTTTGGCTACATTAAGCTTTTGATAATCCAGTGTGTCAGGAAATCGTGTACTCGGACGTTGGGAGCAAAGTATCAAGTGCCTGAAGAACTAATTGAGAAAAACTACGACTCAGAATTGAGCTGCATTCCTATAACAGATGATTTGGAGACTGAAATGGCATCAGAACCATTTGGCATTTCTTATAGTTTTGATAATAAGGAGGCCCTCAGTTATGGAACTTGTAACAGTGGGTTATGCTTATTGTCATTGTCAAGGGTTAAAGTACCATCTAGGGTGTTCAACTGCTTCGTAATGGGATGCGCAGCTGCATCACCAAGCATGTATACGCTCCATGTGAAGGGCAGGCAAAGATTTCCTGGTTGGAAGACAGGATTCTCTTCATCAATTCATCCAAGCTTGAATCGAAGAAGGATTGGATTGTGTAACCGACATGTTAAAGCCTTGTATCTTGGACAGATTTCACTTCAGTCTGTAGAATTTGGGGTTTTGAGGAAGTTGTGAGTACTTGATTTGCTGCCAGAAATCATTGAAAGATGTTTAGAACCATGTTGGTTTTATATGCAGTGAGGGGGCTAGCGAATGGTCTAATTGACAATAGGAGGCTAGCTATTCCAAATTTGTTTGACTAATATTTCATCAGATTAGTTTTGAGAAAAGTGGTATTGGTCCAACTCAAATTCAACTCGATCGAGGATCTGTGAAGCTGAAACTTATGTGTGCCGACTAACTCGCTTAACAAGTGAATGAATTCAGCATTCCCCTAATGGAAAACTCTAGAGAATAAATAGAGGCCAACAATTCTTAGTAGAATAATTTAGTGGATCTATTATTTAGAATCTCACATACTTGATAAATGCCCCTTTGTGTAATATAATCCGCAACTATATTGACACCGCTATCAACCTTCATCATTATCAATAACATCATAGATAGTGTCTTATTGGATCAAGGTGATACTGTTTCTTGAAATGGTAAGAGTCTTCTCAGTGACTTCTAGGATTCATTAAATTCTTCTATTAAGCTAAATGGATGCGACACAAATATTGTTATAACCTCAAATTTAATTTTCCTAAATTCCTAAAAGATTGATTGGTGGAGCACTGTGGTGTTGAGATTGTGGGGGCTGCAGTGCTAAGCTCTCAAGTTTTTTTGGATTTGGGAAAGTTTAATGCTGCTGGGTCTTGAGTGCCATGATGTTTAGTCCGAAAAATCAATTTTTTTAATAAAATATCTAGAAGCATTTTCATCAAATCCCTCACCACTAAGGCACTCCTCCCATTCCTTGTGCATGACGAGTGAGGAAGAAGAGACGAGAGTAGGTGAGAGGAGGAGAGGAGAGAGGAGGGGGAGGAAGAAGAGAGGAGATAGATAGTGGGGATCAAGCCAATATTTTTTATTGCTTCAATAGTGAAAAGTGCTCTGATCGTGATAGGTAATCTTAACCCTACATCTGTTTTCAATACTTTTATATTTTGCTTATTTTTTCCTTTTAAAATTGGTAAAAAAAGGTAAGGTTTTTCATTTTAATGATTTTTCACCATATAATTTTGGTATATGGTAGACATCATTTTTCTGATCATTTTAACTAATTTATATTGAAATCTCACTAGTTAGTTTTGTCTATATGTCATTTTTTTGAAATGAGTAGAATAACATTAATTGTAAAATAATTATGAGTCAATGTACTACATCTAATTATAAAATATATGATATGCATTAATTTATAATTTATCTTGTCTAATATGCATTTGGCATAATACATGAATATAGAGAGCATACATATTAGATCTACATGTTATAATTATTGCATATGATATGTATATGATACTTATTATGATTTATATGATGTGAAATATGTATAAAAGCAAGAAATATTGACTAAAAATAACTGATTGATTCAGGTTAGCTCGAGACATGTTACTCTGTATCATAGGGGGGTGTCCCTAAAAAAAATCACTTAATGGTACAACCCCTTGTCAGCTTTTATTTTATTTATTACAATTTACTGGTTTTTTTCATTTCAAGTCTTCAATCCACCTTCTACCCGGACCATGCAATGCTTCAGTTGTAGAGAGAGAAAGACTAATGGGATAAACTATTGAAAGAGAGAGGGAGGATGACTTTCCATTGTGGATGGAATGATGAAAAGCTAATTTTTTTAGTGGCTTAACATAGCAACAAATTCGCCAACGAGGAAACCTGCTCTAATTTTTGTAATTCTTCCCTTTAAAGTTATTTATTAATCCAGAGAAGTCTTCAACATCTTTTATTATACACATTAAAAGCATCAATGGTTTGTTTTCCACTTTGCTCCTCTCTCACAACTCACGACCTCGAGCATGGCTTTAGTTTTTCCTTTCACTCCTATCTCATGCCCAAATGAAGATTACCCGTGGTAGATGTTTATGTCTTCTAAGCTCTAAGGGCATGTTATTTGCATTCTTAATTTTTATCTTACAGCTTCTCTTGGCTCTTATAATGAGACTACAAATAGAATTTTTTTAATATATTCTAACCTTCCAAATGAGACAACACACAAAACTATTTTATTTTAGCCACCCCCCCCCCCCCCCCAACCCCCCCCCCCCCCCCCCAACAAAAAAAAAAGTAAAATTTTTTGCTTCACCTCTATTATGTACTGGAGTGGGTCGATGGACTTTTTCTTTAAATAAGATTTATGATGTAATCTTAAGTGATATGAAAATGGAGGTATAAGGTGATTGAATGATATATTAGAATATGCCGATGCGAAGAAAGTAACAAATTCTTAAATAAAAGCTACCTGATTTGAGATGAGTGATATGAGATTGATTTTTAATAATATGATTAATATAATTGAGATTAATTCATATTTGGTGTGAATGGCCTGCAAGACTTGATACAAGAAAAATGCAACATATAATTATGTGTCATACATTATTTATATATGCATATGACACGAACATATATGAAAAATTGTATAAGTGACACGATATAATATGGTACATGACATGACTGTTATATGCATATGATAAGACTAATAAGATTGATAATATTTATACAATGGCAGATGATACATATAAAATACATGATATAAATGTATTGATATTGTACTATACATATTAGACAAATGTAAGTATATTAATACATATATAAAATGACATATATATTGAAATAAAGCATAATTCATATTATAGATTCATAATAGAACTGTTGCATTATATGGGATCCATAACTAACATAACATGCTGATCATGTATATAAATATTGATTATAAGTTATATTTCTTATAATTATTTCTATTTTTTATATAAAATGACACTGTTTATAGTAATTACTATGTCTTACAGTTTCATGTTTATATTGATTTTGATTAAAGAATTAAATGCATAATATTTTATTGTCTTATATTGATTGTACTGATAGGTTCTGATAACCTAATAAATTGTTAGCTCATCTTGTGAATTTCCATACTTTATTTTATTTTTTAAGTTAGGAGCATAAAAAGATAGATTGATGTGTTGATTGAACTTCTAGTTATTACAAATTGATTTTGAGGAATGATAATTATAGTAAAATGAAGTTAATGTATATGTTGCTTTTGTTTTTTTTTTTTAATTAAATAAATAGCAATAGTAATTGTTGTAAAATAAATAAAAGATGAATAGATAATTCTTTTATATCTGATCTTGAAGCGTCATAAACTTGTTACCATAGCAGAACTAAATTGTAATAAGTGCAGTAAGAACTAATTGAGAAAGGTAGAAATGGGTAGTGTTAAGATTTAATTTCTTTTGCATTCATGATATGAATATATATGATTGAATTATAATTTATTAGAAAAGAGAACTATATTGATTGTAATGAACCCATCTACAATAAATCTCCAAATGAGTAGAATATAGTAGCTCGAGTGAGTTCTAAAATCAAAATTCAGTTTGCTAGTCTGATAGCTCAGGTGATGAGTGTGCACAGAGTAGACAATTAGGAAGTAAGAAAATTGAAGAGGATAGGCATACGTTTCATAAGATAAAACCTACATTGTTCAATGGAATTGTTGAGTCACATGCAACATAAGATTGGTTATTGATAACTGAGAAAATGTTTGATAGCAAATAGTGCTTGGAAGATATGAGAGTTCCACTAGCTATTTTTCTATTTGAAAATGAAGCAGGGAGGTGGTGGATAGGATAATAGTGAGAGAAATTTTAGAGTAATTGAACTCCTAGATCAAGTGGGAAGAATTTTCAATATTTTCAGGAATTGGTTTCTACCCCCATCAGCCTTATAGAAAACACATGAAGCTTTTATAACATTGGAGCAAGGTAATAGAAAGTTAAGTTTATCACATTAGCTAGGTATGCACCTCAACTGGTTAGCTCTATTGATGAGAAATGCTACATGTTTCTGAGAGGATTGAAAGAAGAGTTCGAGCATTCGTTGGTAACTCTAAGGATTTAAGAGTTTTTAGAATTGGTTGAGAGAGAAAGACTAATAGAAAATGATCTAAATAATCTCTAGTTTAGATAGGACAAGAATAAGAAAAAGTGCTAGCAAAGAGGTGACCAGATGAGAAGTAAGCGAACCCAGACCTTATAATTAGATAGAAAGTCAAAAAACGATCATTTTCAGCCAAAAAATGTCACCTATAAAGCACGATTTTTCCGTAGTGTAATTACTCATTCATTTCCTGAGGAGGAACCTAGACCTTCTATTTAGTCATACAACCTTTATTTCCTTGGAATTGAAGGTAGTTTTAATAACAATAGTACAACTTTTATGTATTGTAATTAACTCGCTTTTTTTTTTTTTTTTGGGGGGGGGGGGGGTTCGTCGAACCTATGCATTATGGCAGAATAAAATTAAAATTATAAGGTTCTTAGAATGGGCCTCGATTCTTATATGGGTGAGAGTTCAACATAGTTGGCTCTAAAAAGATCATTTTAAGTCATCAATAGACCTTTTTTCTCTTCACATATTTTAGATTTTTAAATTTATTATGGATGGGAATACTCACTTTGGGTTATAGGGTTGGTTATATAGACGATTGCTCGGGTTATAATTGATAAGCTCATAGTTTAGCATTTTTCTTCTCCTCTACTGGGGGAGATTAAATAGAGCCTATGCATTATAGCAGACAAACTCACATGCTTCTTATATGGCGTGATGGTTTGGCGTTGTTGGCCCGAAAAAATCATTTTAAGTCATGAATAAACCTATTTTTCTTCACATATTTTAGATTTTTAAATTTATTATGGGTTATAATACTCACTTCGGATTATAGAGTTGGTTATATAGATGAGTGCTAGTGTTATAATTAATAAGCTTATAGTTCAGCATTTTTCTTCTCCTCTGCCTTTCGAATAATTTTTTCTCCATATGAGAAAGCCTAAGAATGATGTTTTCTTAGTGATAAAGGCTCAATTAGCAGAGTGGCAGTAATGATAGATATCAAATATACCTTCAACTTGACATCAACTCTCTTCATATTTGGAGGATTTTAGGAGGGATAAATTCTTAAAGACTGAAATCCTATTATGGTAGAATGTTTTAATAGCAGCAGCTCTAGTGGGTTACACTTGCTAAATTGGTAGATATGCACATGCTACATGCACTTTGTAACACTCTAGAGTCTAATTTTGAAAGAATTATCTATTTATCTATTAATTAATCAACTTCTGTTTACATGAATTCATCAATATAAATCAATCCAATAGAATAAACTAAAAATTATATACATTAAAATATTAAATTATATTCATCCCTCAAAATTCAAGTATAGAACTAGGAGATCAATCAATCATTACATTCACTTCAACTTTCTAAGCTCCTAATTAAAAAAAATAAAATAAAACATAATCTTAGATTTGTCTCACTTCCTTGGATCCTGGACCCTACCTAAAAAATATGTAAAATTATATAGTAAGCTAATAGCTTAGTAGGTCACCAGAACCTAAAACTAAAATCAATATAATGTAATATCAACAATATACAATCTTTCAATCACTATCAATAAAATCATATAATAATAAATGAAATAGTAATAGGTCATATGATCAATAAACATCAATGTAACTATATATCTTAAGAGTAGTGATCAATAACTAAGTGAACAATGAATAATAAGTTTTGTTAATCTTATACCCAACAATTACAAACTAGTTTATATATCATCTTATTACATCAGTACACCTGTCATTATCATATATATGCCGTACAATATCTATGTTATGCATGTATACCATATAAATCATGTGATTCAAATATATCAAATGACTTTGTATTAGTTTTATCAGTCTTATCAAATACTTATATTAGTTATAGCATAATCTTGCGTAAATCATGTCATATCAATTACCTATACTTTCTGCTACGATAAATGAAGTAATTATTATTTTATTTTTAGTGTATATTCTTTTTTTTTCGTTATCTACAAGCCATATTCTGCCTAGTATAATGCTTTGTTATCAACTGCTCTTAAATTCATGTAATATGCATAATGAGCTAATTATTAGAAATCTAGATTAGTGGGTATGACCTACTAAACTGTATTGGCTCACACCTACTTTGCATTGTATTTCAAGTTATAGAAAGAGGAAAGACTCAGTTAAGAATCTGAAGATTCAGGATATAATTTGTCTGAGTCTATAGATATATTTTTCTAATTTTTGTATAGTTATGATTTTTTCTTTATTTTTTTATTTTGAAATATACCCATGTACTATAGTGTATTTTTTTATATATAACCATGTACTACAGTAGTATAGATCGTACAGTCAAAGTGTTCAAAATAAAGTATTATACAATATACAAAAAGTTACGTGGTGAAAATATCATTAAACATAGAAAAATCACTTTTTTTTTCTATATCTTATTATATATTTATTAGAATTGAACTCAAAGACAAGTGTTCATAAGTCTACCACATGCTTAACGAACTCAAGGATTGGCTCGATAAACGAAATCAGCACCATTACCCCTGAATTTCTCTCCTCATTTCCTCTCTCTTCCTTCCTCTCCTTTCTACTCGCCCATCTCTCATAGATGGTGGATTTACATTTTTATTATATAAAAACTAATTTTAGTGGCCAGCACCAGGACACTCAACTATATACTACTGCAACACTCGATCAGAATTTTCTAGCCTATCTTAGATTCCTCAAAATCAAGGAGAGTATAACATTGTAGCACTCATTCTCAACACCGCATCACTCTATCAATTCCTCTTCCCAAATAGAGAAAACAATGTTGTGGTGTCGCAGTGCCCAAAAGAACATTTTTCCGCGTGATTTTTTCTCCTCCCTTTCAATTCTTAAACCTATTTAAAGTTAATTAGAGGCTAGATAACTTATAATTAATAACTAAATTAGAATAAGCAATGATTCATACCACATTAGGTCAACTAGTTAGGTCATGGAACAATAGATGTTACATATCTCTCCTGCATGGAGGCATCATTGAGAGTGATAGGCCTTTAGACCACTCTAAGAAATAATGTATTGTTGGTGCCATATGATAGTGCTTGTAAAGATCTTCTATTCCACCAAGTCAAGAAATGTATGCATGAGTATTCATGTACATGTTTGAAGACTCGTAATATTTCCCCGCTAAATCCGCAAATACACAAAAGTATTTAAAATTTTCTCATCGTACTAAGAAAAACACGTATAGGTCTTACCCATTAATCGCAAATGTTAATTACGAATTTTCTTGTCACGCTTAAAAAAAGTGCAAATGGGTTGCTCTTATGTATCGAATGCATCACATTCAAATTTTTTTAAGATTTTAAGTATTTGAGTTTATACGTTCACACGCATAACAATGACGACGATAACGAAAGGTGTCGATAAATTTATTAAAAAAAATCTTCAAATATCTTTTTTTTAGAGAGAAAAAAGAGAGAGAAGATATAGAGGGAGAAAGTGAGAGATAGAGAGAGTGGAAAGAGTTAGAGAGATAAAGAGTGAAGGACATAGAGAGGGGAGAGTTACAGAGTTAAAGATAAAGTAAAGGCAGAAAGTGAAAGAAGAAAGATAAGAGGAGGGAGAGTGCCCACTAGGGTTCAAGCAACGATGTGGTCGAGTGCAACAACAGGCTAGGGTGACAATGTTTGCAATGATGGCAACACATCTTTATAAAGTTATTCTCTTTTGTCATTAAACAAATGACTATCCGTTTAATATTAAGCATTATGATAATAAAAGATCTGCGTTCAAATAAATTAATATCAAAACAATTTCTCTTCATAGTGGCTTACAAAGAGAAATTATTATGTGCGGAATCCGTAATTTCAATCAAAGAGTCACGTCGCTTGTACACAATATGCGTATTATACACATTGTGTATACATTAATATATAGACGACATGACATTTTTTAATTTGAGTCCAAAATGAAGTTGTGTCCAAACTCCGTATGTAATAATTTCTCTACAAAAAGACGTACATATAATACAACTAAAATATTTTGCTTCACCTAGAAAAGAAATATTACATGCAAGATAAATAAAAACCTTCATGTCTTGAATCAAACATAAAAATCATAATACCACAAATTTAATGGGCTCGAGCATAGGATCGAATTTTACAAATGCAATTTCAAACATGAAAAAATCATGAGGTTAGCATCTTGATTGTAAAAATCAATATTAAAAAATAAAAAATAAAAAAATATGAAAAAATAACTGTAAAATAAGTTTTGACTTGAGGATCTAATATAAGCCAAAAATTAGAGAAATGTAAATATATTATAATAAACCACAAGTACTAAAGCTTCATTTCGGGCATTTTAAAACAAACTTTTTAAAACTAGAATTTTTTGCATTCGAAATCTGCTTTTGAAATCAAGAAGAAAGCTGCCCCAAGTTTCATTTAGGATAAATTTCTTACTGTTTTCTAAAACAACTTTCTAATACAAAAAATTATTGAACAAAAAATTTGTATACTAAAAATCTACTTTAAAAAGCAAAAAGAAAACTTAAAGAATAGATATATATATATATATATATTCCCTTTTAAAATCTATTACCGGATTCAATTATCGACCAAATAACGGGAAGATATAGGATGAATATTTGCCACTTGAAAGAATGGCCGCAAAAAAGCACCACAACATGCAGGTGTTTATTTGTTCTATTAGCCTTCTTAGTTCTTTCTTCGTGTGTTTTGTAGAGGGGAATTGCCTATTATGTTTCTAGCAATAATGATACTGCTAGAGTATGTTCACTCTCGCTTCCAACAAAATCACAAAAAAGTTTCCATTCTCAGAGGATCGAAGTCAGTAATGAGGGCTATCCTCCCAACTTACAGGTGGAAAAATGTTTTAGCCCTCCAGTTCTACCATGTATTCCTCTCCACACTGACACTTCACAGCATGAGAAACGCTCTGCAATCATTAAAAAAAATAAAATTATGGCAGCCAAATAACTCAAGTGATTTAGTAAAAATAAACTCTGTTTAGTAGTAATCAAAATTGAATCAAACAAATAAGATTACCACTTAAACGAATTATTGCATTGTTTGAAGTGAGAATTACTGGTAAAATTTCATCTAGGTTAAAAACATGACAGGAAGACAAAAGCGTCATTTGGGACGGTTTTCTTACTGCTTTCTGAAGTAACTTTTTAATACAATTTTTTTTACTTTAAGAAATTTATGTACTAAAGAGATGCTTTAAAAAACGGTAAAAAATCGTGCCAAATGAAGCCAAAGTAACTTACCTTCAATTGTGTAATTTGATCATCTAATGACTTCAAGTATTCCAATTCCCCAGCTTCGTCAGCCAGCAGAGCCTTATGTTCCTCTTCCAAAGCTTCCACATCCAAAGCTTTTAGTGCGGGCTGAACACCCAAAATAAGAAGTTCAAACGAAAAAATATATATATTTAGAATAGAAAGAAGCATATAAGAACGCAAGCAGACTTTTATTTTGGGCTCACAGTGAAGCTTTCTGTTTTCTGCTCTAACTCCACCATAAGCTGCTTTGACTGATACAGAAGCATATCGGCAATATTACAATCACTGTAGGAATGCTTAGCTCAAAAAAATTGGCATAGCCAAAAATCAGAGAAAATGTCTCTGTGCTTTAACAAGTGGCAGTACCTTGGCATTCTCATCACCAAGTTCGGATTTTCGAGCTTTCAATTCTTCATGCTTAGCCTTCTTGGATTCAACTTGTGCGGTAAGTTTCTGGTAACTCATACCCCATGTATCTCTCTGTTATATATTTAATTAAGAAACACATAGTATTACATGAAAACTAATTTGAAATTGAAAATATTCAGACCATATTTTCCAGATTCATTTCACTTGAAGGACCTGCAAGGCGATGTACAGATAAGTTACAATGGAGAAGCTCTACAGATCAGATGTCTAATAATTCTCTGTACATTTTAGATATAATACATGTTCAAAGCATAAATATCAAGTTTCTTTTTAGGGGGTGACTCTCCGTAAAACAGAAAAAAAAAAAAAATGGTTTAGCTTTCACAGAAGATGCAACCCTTAGCATTCCCATGTCTCCAAGAAGGTTCAGATGCTTACTATAATGTTCCTCAACCTGCAACAGAAAATATCGCAGAATCATTGGGAGGAACACACTTTGAAGAAACAAAATTTTGAAATTGCTAAAATTGAGAACTAAAGAGATCAGCCCATCTTCTATCATAAACAAAGAAAAAAATGAAATCAGAATTCCATAACTAAGAGAACATTTGATTTTCTGTAACTGAGAGGTCCTTAGTTTATCACCAGGAGAGAAATGATAAAGAAAATTAGGCCTGTGATGATACCATAATAAACTATAGTGAAATCTGTAGTAGCGGCAATAAAACATAGCTACCATTGGAAGAACCTATATATAATTCTTAGTGTGTTTTGTGCATTGATTTTTTATCTGTTTTTCACTCCTTTTGTCTCTCGAGGATAGAATAATGTTTCACATATTTCCCCACAGTAAGTGATACAACTCAAGGGCTGAACAAAGATGGAATTAGAAACCCTCCCATCAAAATCATTTGAACACAAAATAAGCATGCAACTCAACTAATTTGAGTATCTAACTATAGATTTTGAGCTACTCACCACCGTTTCCCTCTCCTGCTAATGTGAATTTAGTCAGTACACAACATGAACAATATGTCAAAATCCATCAATATAAGAAAAGCAGAATATTCAATGTGTTCGAATAGTCCACAATTTATAGTCACAATTAGGTGATAAAAGGTAGAACAAAAACCAAAATTAAGATGAAGCCATACGAGGTTTGCTGTCGTTATCTTCTGCTCATATGAGTTCAGCCAGTCCTACATAGAATAACCAAAAGGTTTGACATAAAATTAGAAAGAAAATAAGAAAAATAGAAAATATAAAGGTATCCTACACGGAAAGTATAATGAACTATAAAAATCTATTTATCCAGCCTTACATGACCCTGTTGTAGCTTGAAAACTGAATCTTCCATGATCTTCGCAAAATACATCCTACCAAGGCAACATGAATGAATTAAACAAATCAGTGCAGTAATACAGGTGGAAAACTTAATGAAGTACCTCTTCTCTTGAAGACCTTCAGATGCACTAACTATTTGTTGCCGGAGAAGTTCAAGTGACTGCAATTCCATTCAGGGAATTTCAGAACATTGTCATATCCAAAGGTTGCTAATAGATGAAAGACAAACGCTTAATTTGTAACTAAAAAATAGTCACCCAACAAATAATTAGAATAAATAAAAGAAAATAATGCGAAATTTGGGTTCCGAAAATAAGGCTTATCGGGCCCGACCTCTCCGCGTATATTCGGGGAGAGTTTTAACTGATTAAGTTCCGGGAGAAATTTTTGGAAAACGGATTAAAACAATACCCAAAGATTTCGCCCCATATGCAAGGAATTTAAGATCTAATTCTGATTTCTTATAGATATAAGCCCATATAGTTAATTAAACCTCCTGAAAAATGAGATAGCACTTTTGATTAAGGTTAGTATTAGATACACTTAATACCCAATGTATAGTAGCAATAATTTTTAGATATTTAAAATTTAATATTTATAGATAGAAATTTATCACATTACACTTTAAAGCAGATGATGAAAGGAATGATGATGAACCATATCAATATTACATGATTCCATCATCCCAAGACATTATAGTCTATCGTACAAGTTAAAGAAGATAGTCGACCCAATCTGATTGAAGGATCTTTGTTGACAATCATCAATTTTTTTCGTACAGGAATACCTTGTAGACCTAAGGTAATATTTGTCTAACAGAATTCAAGTAAACCTTAGCTAATAAAGGGATTTGTGCCTTATCAATTATATCCTATGATTCATTATTGAATAGTACTAACCATTGGGAAACATACGGGTTTTAGCTGAAATCATAATATAATAGTCATTGGGCCAAGCCACCAGATCAGAGAGCTTCGATTATAATCATTTCTCATACGGAGTCATTCGGCTAAGCCATTGGTTCTTTGTAGAGTCGTTGCGCCAAGCCACCAATTAGAGGACCAATCATAACCATTTAAAGCCATTGGGCCACGCTATGAGTTTTGTGGAGTTGTTAGTCCCAACCACTAGTTAAAGGATACATGATACATCATTATTAGCAAAAAATTATTTGAGAATGAATCTTGACGATGTTCTCAATTCGACATTTGCTTCTTGCGAGCTAAATTTATTCTTGAATTCATCGCCTTTGTCAAACATCTACGAAAGGTGGGTAAGTCTTACTTTAAATTACAAGTGATTAATTTCGTTTTAAATGTTAAAATTTTAATAGATTTTGAGTTCCAAAATTTTGATAATTAACCCCTCCGATTGATATTAGCTTCTAACACGATTATCATCATGGTGGCATTAAATTAACTATAAAGTGTTATTATTTTACAGGAGTTCTGAGGCATTTAAAGTATAAAATCCCCTCCGATTGAGATTAACCTTCAACATGGTCATCATTGAAGTTGTGAAAATGATAGGAAGTGGATGCAAAAATTGAGAAAATCATGATTGAAATTTAATTTCAGCAAAACAGAAAATTGCAAAGTAGGATGAAGAACATGTCAACAATGCTTTTTATTGAAATAGTTATGAAAGAAAGACAATATACTATTGGATCTTCAATTGAAGAGGAAGATCCGACTCTCCCAAATCCCTAGCCTCCAGCTAGAGCCCTCTCAACTTAAGAAATTCTCAATTTAGCCAAAACATAATAAAATCGAAACCCTAGGATAAACAACCTATTTAAAGCATACAAAATATAGCAAATCCATAAACAGCCCTTCCTGAATTGTTTTTCCCTTCTAGCCGACTCCTCCTTTCTTTGAATTTGACCTTGGACCCCAACCGAAGGTGGGAAAAACTTAGACCAAGTGGCCATTGTTCCGCCTGGCATAAACTAGAATTGGTCCAAGAAACAATCTATCAATGCTGACGATGGGGTGAAATTAGTGGATACAGGGGGCTATAGGGTGATGATGGGCAGGCAAAAAGGTGGAGATGGGTAGAGGTGTTTGTAGGAGAATAGTGCTGACGATTCAGGGAATTTTAGTGAGGGAGGATTTTCTTTCCTAGGACTTGGAGAGTACTAATGTCATCCTGGGGATAAAATGGTTGTAGACCTTGGAGGATACTAAGATTAATTGAAAGCATTGAGGATGGAACTAGTGGTGGGAGGAAGGAGGATGGTGATCTAGGGCGATACAGGGTTGTCCAAGGCCGAAGTATCTTTCAAATCCATGATCAGGACCATACATGAGGTGGGAGGAGGATATTTGGTGGAACTATAACACTTGGAGGGGATCAGTGTAGGGGAAGAGGAAGATATCCCTCTTGTAGTACAACCCCTCATACAGTAGTTCAGTGAGGTCTTCCAACCGCCTCAAAGCTTACCACCACCCAGAGAGCAAAAATATGCCATCATTTTAAAGGAGGAGGTATCCCCGATTAGTGTATGGCCGTACCGTTACCCTCAAATTCAGAATGATGAGATTGAGAAGCTTATCAGGGAGATATTAGAAGTATGGATCATAAGGCCAAGTGTGAATCCTTTCTCTAGTCCAGTCTTACTGGTCAAGAAAAAGGATGGGAGCTGAAGATTTTGTATGGATTACAAAGCGTTGAATAAGAAGACTATGTCTGATAAGTTCCCCATCCCTGTGATCGATGAACTACTGGATGAGCTGTATGGAGCAGTGGTGTTTTCCAAGATGAACTTGAAGTCATGCTACCATCAAATCAGGATGAAGGAGAAGGATATTCAGAAGACGCCTTTTAGGACGCACGAGGGGCACTACGAGTTATTGGTGATGTCATTTGGGCTTACAAACACCCTTGCTACCTTCCATTCATTGATGACTAGGGTGTTCTGGCCGTACATATGGAGGTTTGTTTTAATTTTCTTTGATGACATACTTGTGCATAGCAAGACTGAAGAGAAGCATCTGGAGCATTTAAGGATGGTCTTTGGAGCTTTATAGGAGCATCAGCTCAGGGCCAATCTGAAAAGTGCAGCTTCGCACAGACTAGTGTGGAGTACCTGGGGCACGTGGTATCTCAAGAGGAGGTGGCAGCCAATCAAGCAAAAATTGAAGCAATGCAGAAGTGCCTCTACCTAAGAACTTGAGGGAGCTAAGGGGTAGGATTGACGTGTTATTACCGAAGGTTTGTGAAGGGGTATAACAATATAACTTGGCCTTTAACAGAGCAATTAAAGAAAGTTAGCTTCTTATGGGGGGAAGCGGCTACCCAGACTTTTGAGAAACTTAAGAAGACAATGACCATAGTACCAGTTTTGGCTTTACTAGATTTCAGACAGACTTTTGTGGTGGAGACAGATGCATCCGGATATGGGTTGGAGGCAGTGCTGATGCCGAATCATAGGCCCATAACCTACTTCAGCCAGGTGTTGACAACTAGAGCCAGACTAAAGTCTATATATGAACAGGGAATTGATTGTCATTGTGTTAGCCATTCAGAAGTGGCGTCCATACTTGCTTAGATGGCATTTTATTGTCAGGACCAATCAAAGGAGCTTGAAATACTTGTTATAACAAATGATGGTGACTGCGGAGAATCAAAAGTGGTTGTCAAAACAGCTAGGCTGTAATTTTCAGATGGAAAATAAGGTGGCTGATGCTTTACCAAGATGTGTTGGGGAGCTCAAGGGGATGACAATTTCAGTACCACTAATGGTAGACTAGGGGACTATCAAGGAAGGGAGCATGCAGAATAAAGAGCTGAGGAAGATTAGAGAGGATTTGATGAAGGATACAAGTAGCCATCATGGGAGAGACTCTTACATCATGGGAGGTTTGTGATGCCCCAAACTTCCATCCATATTCCCCACCTACTGCAGGAGTTACATGGGAGTGCAATTGGAGGCCATTCCAGGGTAGAGAAGACATACAGGAGACTGACTGCTGAGTTATACTGGAAGGGGATGCATAAGGATGTGGAGGAGATGGTAGCAAAGTGTAAGGTGTGCCAGAGAAACAAGTACATGGTCATAGCTCCAGGTAGGTTACTACCACTATTATCACTTCCAAACAGGGTATGGGAGAAAGTGTCCATGGATTTGATCGGAGGAGTTCATAGTTATTATGGTGGTAGTTGATAGGTTGAGCAAGTATGCACATTTTATCCCTTTATAACACCTCTGCACCAAAGTGATAGTGGCAGCAGCATTCATCAAGGAGGTTGTTAGACTGCATGGGATTGTAGAGTCGATAGTGTCTGACTGAGACAAGGTGTTTCTCAGCCAGTTTTGGAGGGAGCTGTTCAGGTTGCAGGATATTACTCTCAAGAGAAGCACCACTTACTATTCTTAGACGGACGGGCAAACAGAGGTAGTAAACCAGAGTTTGGAGACTTACTTGGAGTGTTTTACTTCTGAAACATCGAGGATGTAGGGAAAATGGTTAGCATGGGCCGAGTATTGGTACAATACATCGTACCATTATGCTTCTCATATGACTCCTTTCAAAGTGTTATATGGAAGGGACCCCCTATACCTAGTAAATTTTGGGAAAGGAAACACATCAGTTTCTTTAGTTGAGCAGTACTTTGAGGAAAGGGACAAGGTATTTGAGGAGTTGAAGAAACATCTATTGAGGGAACGTGAACAACAAATAATGAAGAAGCATAAATATTCATATAGGAGAGACATACAGTTTGAAGTGGGGGAGATGTTCTTAAAACTATGACCCTACCACCATAGGACAATTGCTAACAGGAGTACTGAGAAATTAGCCCAAGGTACTTTGGCCCCTATGAGATTTTGGACAAGATCCGAGCAGTGGCGTATGTCTAAAGTTATCCTCATCCGCCACCATACACCCAATCTTCCATGTGTCACAATTGATGAGAGCTATAAGGGAGCATGCTGTTAGTGCAGAGTTACATGTTACACTGACAGAGGAGTTGGAAGTAGTCTAAGAACCATAGGAGCTAAGAGGGGTAAGATCGAATAAAAAGGGAGACAAATAAGTGATGATTGAATGGAAGGTACTACCCGATATCGACACAACTTGAGAACCCTATGAGAGGATGAAGCACAATTTCCTTAACCTTGAGGACAATGAGAGTATTTGGGAGGGGGGTAATATTATACCGGCCCTTGGGCCAGTTGAACCGGTCCTCCTTGGACCGATTCAGGTCTATAGGAGGCGGAAGCAGCAGGGGGGAAGAAGTCTAGCTTGGGCAGTAGCTTGAGTGGGACCCTCACAATAATAAAGGCTGGGATTATGAGGTAAATTCAAATTAGGGGTTGTTTAGGGAATAATGAATTATCCTTTCCTACCGCAATCCCCCTCACCATCTACTTTATGTTTTAGGCGATAAATTTTTCAATCCCAAGTTAAATTTAGTACTATTATGTGTCAAGCACTTAGACTCTAATAACTAGCCTTAATAAAAAAATTCTCTCTCATCACCGGAAGGGCCACTTAATTATAGGGGCTAACGCCTATGACAAATTTAGAAACAAATAATAAAATATTTGCAAATTGGGGCGAAATATCTTGATTGTCTTATCTTAATCTAATATGACTTCTAAAAATTCGAACCAAAACACCATCACATAGATGCCTTCAGAAATGTAGAAAGAAGCATTGCATATGGCTATAATCTTAAATACACATTTCACAATATGTTTTGAACCTGAAAAATACCATGACGATTAACAATGCTTTATGCAATTCACTGCATACAGTTTTTGCAGTAAATTTTGACTCAGACAGACAAAGTAACATATTACATAAAATCTAAATTAGTTCAATTAGAACATCACAACCTGTGAAAGAGTAGATGTTTCATTCTCCAAAGAGGATATCTTCTCCTGTTTCTCAAATATCTGGCCGCAAATCTGAGCTCTTTCTTTCTCCAATTCCTTAGATTCAGCATTTAAACGAGTTGTTTCTGAAGCAACTGCGAGAAGAAGTAGCATGGGCTCCTGTAACTCATCAGGATATAATAATTTTCCACTGCAAGCTTAACAGAGTGCCAGAAGCGACAAATGCATTGGTATTAACAGACCATGGGAATAAAGCGCACTTTATTTAAATGACATCTAAACAACTTGCATTCCAGCACGTATGACTGCTAACTAGAGTCCTCTTTCTCATGATTCTTTTGGTCATTTTAACATGTTATAAGAAGTCAAACCTCCGAGTAAAATTTAAAACAAGCATGATATTAGTACAAGAAACTTTGGTAATGAATTATTTAAAACATAGATCAATAGTTGAGTGCTATCGCTTCTTAAGAAATGGATAAACTAATAACTCTCAAAAAAGGTAAATAAGGGGCAATCGGAAACTTAGGGATTATATATAACTGCAACACTGCTTAAAATTCTATATGCCCGAGTAAAAGGTTTTTCCATTACATTTGGATTCAAGCCACGAAGACCAATTCTAAAAATATGAGCTATGGGGCAAATCAACTATCCATATTCGTGAGCAATTGCCGAGTTGCATTTGAAATGCTTCATTTAACGAAGACTGCAGCACATATTATACTTGGATTCAAACGAAAATATAATAGAAATTTGCGTGGTTGACAAACCATTTTCAAGTACGCAGTTATGCCTTATCAAAATTCTTAGCGTATATTCAGACAACAGAAGAGCATTGTAGTTATAATGGATGTCAATGACAAATATAAGGCTAGCTTAGACAGCTATTTCCGCAAGCACTCGGAAGAGCGCGCGCAACGGGAGATGGGGCGAGAGAGAGACAGAGAAACCTGAAAAAATATCCTTCTCCAAGGTCTCGATCGCTGTCTTCTGACTTTGCTCTTCCACCGACCTCTTTGCAGCCACCTCCTCAATATCTGTGACCAAAACCCAAATCATGCAAGAAAATAATCGTTTATCAAAAGGATACCCGCAAACTTAAGAAGCTAAGACACAATGACAGGATCGATTTCTCTAACGAGAGAGGAGATGGAATGTAGAACGACCGGAATCAATATTCTTGAGAGAGGAAGTTGAAGAAAGAGAGATCTGAAGTTTTAAAATATTCATCGGGAAGGAGTAGAAGAGAATCAAACACACCGTTAATCTGAGACCTCAAACTCCGCAGATTCTGCAAGTATTCCTCCATTTCTAGAGAGGAAGCAATTACACGAGTGGAAGGCAATGGCGCCTATCCTCTGATTTTCCTTGCGCTGGACGCTGTCCAAGTCTAGGGATAAAATCCTACATGAAAACTGTTGCAACAAAACCTGTAAACAGTGTTCAAAGGATGCTGCTCACACGAGGGTTAAGAACAAAATCCTACGACCAGTATTTAAAACTTTTTTTGTAAAGTAAGATCCAATATGATACGAAGACATCAAATAATATTTCATCTTGAATATTTTAAAATTATAACTCATGACACAGCATTGGAAAAATTCTAATTTCTAAATAATGTTAATTGCACTTTTTTTATTGGGACATTTAGGCCATTTAAGGCAAACTCACACACACAACGCATACACAAAGACTCGAACCTTATACCTCTTAGTTGGAAGCCTTAGCTCTCAACCAATAGGCCAAGGAGTTTGAAATGGCACAGTGGAAGATCATTCTGTTTTATTATGTTTTGACTTAACTTTATGTAAGCAAGTGTGGGAGGTCAAAGAGAGTTATAAGCATAAGTGGAATTAACAACAAATATTATGATATGTGTACTATACTCATGCATTGCATATTATAATAATTCATTGGATTAAATATAATTGATATTCTAAGCTAGTTCGATAAATTCTGAAAGGATTCTAATGTAATAAGAAGGTCAAGTGCAAGTAATATTATGATAGCAAGTGTTTTAATATTATCAATCGTATCATGTATGTTTATCAGTCTTATCTTATATTATGTGCATATCGTTTTATATCATATCATTTATACAAATTTTCATATATGCTCATGTCATGTGCATATACAAGCAAGATAGAACATCCAACTACCTATGGTGTTTTTATTATATCCAATCTTATAAGTCAATCATGCAAGAATCAGTCCCAATCATATCACTCTTATTTTCAGGAACCAACCTTATTTTTTTTAGGAATTAGTCTTATATCACATAGAACAAGTTAGATATCTTTCATATAAGAAATCTTCATTTCCTGTCCATTAACTTATCATATCATATCAATCAATCTTCTTATATTTCCTTTTTCACATCACTAAGGATTACACTATGAATCTTATTTAAAGGAATGTATGTCTGCCCATGCTCCTATAAAAATAACATGTCTTTTAACCAACTTTAATAAATTAATTATTTCTAACGAACATTTTTTGCTTTTACACACATTTCATATCATATAGATCATAATACCAAAACATCATATACATCTAATGCAACTACCGTCAAACTCATTTGTATGCAGTAGAATGTCAAAACTACATGCTTGATTAAATGAATAACAAATGTATGCATATCATGTATCTTATGTCCAAAAGTAATATGCTAACTCTTGATTATTTTATACTTAGTGATACAATATTCATTTCAAATTAAATGTCATATATGGAAAATGCATTAGTGAAATTTTAATATAAACCAATCAAAATATTAGGGGTGACGATAGCTACCACATATAAAAAATTCTATAGTGGGAAATCATTAAAACGAGAGATACTATATTTTTTATCAATTATAAGAGAGAGAAAATAGGCAAAACATAAAATCATAATTAGGTATAGGGGTAAGATGACCTACCACGATCAGAATATTTTTCATAATTTGAACGACACAAAATAGTAGCCCAATCCCCACTTTCGCCCTCCTCTTTCATCCTTCTCTCTCTTATTTTCTCTCCCTTTATCTTGTATCTCTCACCTTGGTAAAGAAGGAAATGTGGGAGGGGATGGGGTGGCTTAAGGCATATTAAATGAGGATTAAGGATTTAGATATTAAAAATAAATAAATTTTAAGATATAATGTTGCAGCGCTCTTGACCCAGCGCCACAACGCTTTCTTAAATTCAACAAAATATGAGAGTTTGGTGCTATAACACCCACAAGTTTAACACTGTAGGTCCCACTGAGCTAATTTTCTAGAACTTAGGGATATTAACTTTGAGGTTATTACACTTTTGATGAATAGATTGCTTGTTAGCTAGGTTATTGTATATGAGTTTTGTGAAATAAAATTGGATGATGTATAACAAAATATTTATTATTTTGAATTTTTAAATAGCTTTGATTTATTCTATATTTTGGTTGAGTTAAAATTTAAGTTTAGGAATTTAATCCTTCCATTAGATCTCAAGATGTCACAATTGGATACCTAGTATATAGGTAAGATATAAAAGTTTCAAAAGATAGCTTTTTCTCATTTCTAGACAATTTTAGGCGTTAAAAAATTTTTCATGGCCATAGGCTTGTGAAGATAGAAGTGGTGGGAGTTTGTTATGAGGTGTATTGGTATAGGCTAGTGATGGCGAGTAATTGTTCTATCATCATGAAGCTTATCATCAGTGGATTTAATGAGTTCAACAACTTGATCATTAGAGTTAGGCTGATGCAGAGAGATTTCATTTTGGATTGTTGGTCTCAGCCACCATTGATGTTTACATCGACCTGATTTGTTTTCCTTCATGGTATTGTCTAAAGAAGGTGAATCTGGTGTGTGTTTAGGGGGTTGATAGATTAGTCTTGTTTCACCACCATTAGTGTTGGGCAAACATGAATCACAAGATTTCTCTCGATTCCTTCCATTATTCTACATTAATAAAGATTCATCCAAACATTTTATGAAAGTTGGAGAGGAGATTGTGATAAACTATAGTATTGTATGAAGAGTAAGGTTTCGTTTGTGATGACTTTCCTACTATTTTTAAGGCAGCTTTTTCATAAAAAAAATTTGTTGCACTAGAAATTTTTATAGTATAAAACTATTTTATAAAACATTAAGAAAGTTATCTCAAATGAAGAGCAAGTCAGCATGAGCCCCAAATAATATGGATAATTGAATATTTTGAGGATACAGATAACTCCTGGAACAAATGGATGATGAGGAAGAAAGAACAATGAGGAAGAAGAAAAAATGCAGAGAAATTTTTTGATATTTCATTATTTTGCGAGATGACTTTCAAACAATCATATGTTTTCCCTATAATGATTATAATTCATTACTGATTCAAACTAAACATTGTTGCATGCTAGAAGAATTGCATCGATAGAGAATAGATTTCATTTCTTAGAAATGCACAAAAATTCAGCATGAATAGAGAAAAATGATATGACCATATAATTTTTTATGTTGAAAACCTAGAAAAGGAAGAACCATGGGGCCTGGCCTAATTGCAGTGTTTTTTATGGAACAAGTAATATAAAAATCCTCATTTCTTTACTGTTGAAGAAGATGAAAATATAAAGATATACAAAATTGGATACAATCTTGACAATATTCTAGAATTGTTGATGATTTCTGATGTTGATCATCGGTGATTATTGTGGTTGCTGGTGGAAGAAATTTGTGGTCGTTGGCAGCGACGATGACTAGAAAATGTAAGAGAGATCTCTGATTCTTCTCATCTCTTCCTTATTTTTCCTTCTCTCCTTTCAGTGAAGAATGAGATGTCTATTTATAATTTTTTGAGAGCAGTACGACAAGTAAATAGGAAGAATATCAAGGGCATGTTAGGAGTGTTTCATTGGACGACCAATATCAACTCCCTTGATCATGGATCATTTATCGAGCATTTAAGTGTCTTAATATAGTTAAAATTTAGCAAACTTGGGCTCATTAGATTTACCTTGTTTAGCAACTCAATTAGATTTTAAGCACGTCATATTTGGATATCATTTGGTCATCCAATGAAAATTTTGATGCTTTCAAATAGGCTTTGTTCATTTGATTTGGACCAATTTAATCTTGGATTGGATCAAATTTGGTGTCGTTGGATTCTTCTCCTCGAGATGTTCAATTTGACTATAAGCTTGCTAAAATCGGACTTCAAATGGTCCTGATTTTAATTTTTGAAGCTTTCAATTTATATTTATATTGAAATTCGGCATAAGCAGAGAAAAAAAATTGGGCCAGAGAATTTTTTACGTGAAAAAAATCGGAAAGGGAAAGACCACAAGGCCTGACCCATTGCAGAATTCACTATGTAATAAGTGATACAAAATCCTCTTTTCTTCACCATTAAAGAAGAGGTAAATACAAAGATCTACAACAATTGACTACAATCTTGACAATATTCTAGAATTGTTGATGATTTATGATGTCGATTTTCGATGATGATGGTGGTTATTGGTGGTTGCAATTGATGGTTGTCAGCAGTGATGATGACTGAAAAAATTAGGAGAGATCTCTGATTCTTATCCGCTTTTTCTCCATTTTTATTCTTCCCTTTCAGTGAAGAATGAGTGGTTTATTTATAGTTTTTTGTGAGCGGCGTGACTAGTAAATTGAGAAAAATCAAATGTATGTTGAGAGTGTTTCAATGGAAGACCGATATCATCTCCCTTGATCATAGATCGTTTATCAAGCATTTGAGTGTCTTACTGATGTCAGAATTTGATGATCTTGGGCTGGTTGGATTCATCACATCAAGCTGCTCAATTTAACTATAAGCACTTCATATTTCGATATCATTTGATTATCCAATTAATGTTATGAAGCTTCCAAATATGCTTCGTTCATTTGATTTGGACCCATTTAGGTTAAATTGGATTGAATTTGGTGTATTTTGTTCGTCTTCTCAAGATGTTCAATATGACTATAAGCTTGCTGAAATTAGAGTTTAAATTATCCAATTTTTAATTTTTAAAGCTTTCAATTTATATTTATATTGAAATTCATGTCTGATAAATATAATTTTTTTGATGATATATCATACATATTCTTAAATACCTCAACAACTGAGCAAATGATGACAAGACTTCTATCGGCTATTCATAACAGAAAGCCACCTATTGCTAGTTTTACTCCAAGTGGTAGTTCTTGAGCCACACATTAAGATCCCTAGCTTCGTTTTCTCTCTTCCTATTTTACTTCCTTCATGAACTCAATAACATAAGAATTTGCTCATTAGTGCTCATTAATGAAGCACTGAGTGCCACTTTACTGCAACAATGAAGGACATAAGGGCTACCATAAATGACTGTAAGGCACAATCAAATTTCGGAATTGAAGCTATTATTTGAACGGGTACAACATTTTAGTTGAACGCTTCAGGTCCAGTAAACATGAAGAAGCACAATCTAAACTGTTCTTAAGAAATTCAGCAGTAAAAAATTAAGGGAACGAAGACAATCATTGCAGGC